ATATGTTCGTATTATTTTTCAAAGTTTTCGTGTGCGTTTGTTAAATTTTCGTTTCATTCCATTAAAACATGTTTGTACATTTGGTTATATATGATATATGTAGTTATTTTAAGGACATTGTCCCCAAAAGGAATGTCACATATAGTGTGCCCGAAATAATCGTTACATTAGAAATAATTCCACCGTTCCTCTGTCCTCATAAAAGCTGTTGTTTATATATATGTGCGGTGTTGCCACATCGATGGAATTTAATTTTATATTTTTCATAAAATAATCAATAATTGGTTAAATATGTTGTTGTTCATATATTTTAAACATATATTTAACCAGTAAAAATGAGATTAACTTAACTGGGGTCATAAATACTAAACGGACAACTAAAGAAAAATCATAGAAGTATGGGTCTCCAAAATTGACTATATGCATAATCTATAAAAATTAAAAAAGGACTGTAACTTTTTTTATAAAATCTAGATTGGCTTAATGCTAAGTCAATCTTTATCGAAAAAAAGTATATTTTCAAACCATATATAATTCATATCCAAAAGTTATGTACTTTGCTTTGAAAACGAAAATGTCCTCAAAATTAACAGTGCACCGTCGATTTTTTCGGGGACAGTCCCCGATAGTGGCAAATGTCGCTGAAATAACCTCCTTACCCAAAAAGTGCCCCCAAAATAGGCGCATCACATATATATATATATATATATATATATATATATATATATGTATATGTATATATATGTGTGTGTGTAGCTATGATAACCAGCATTGGAATGTAAAATTAGCTTATTTCTGCACAAGTATATGTATATTTGTAACTATGTAAGTATTTCAAATTGTATTATAAAAGAGTTGCAAAAATTATTGAAACCGTTAGAGAAAATCCCAAAATTGTTACAAGATGATATGTTAAAAACGAATAGCAAAATCCAAACACATAAATTAAGTAGACGGACTTCATCAGAAACTTGATCTCTGTCGATCGTTATATGGATATATATGTACGTGTGGGTATCAAGTTCAAATCAAAACAAAAATAAAAAACTAACTCCAATTTTGCCAATGTTAACTGTCAATGAATATGTATTATATATGTTTGTATAATATATAATAACATTTTTTATAAATGTAAGCTGACCAAGTTACAGTCATTTTCCCTCGGCACACAAAAGTGAATAAACATTCACGAATACTCACAGTCCCAGTCTAAGTGTAAATGTCAATACCTAATGAGTCTCTATCATAAGAGCTCAAGTAAGCAAGAATTAGTTGGAAAAATGCGAGTAAATGTATGTGTTATATATTAAGTATACGCAAGGATAACCAACAGCACTTTAAGGTGTTCAATGTATGTAAGTAAATACATATAAATATATATATTATTAGATTGATTTCTTGTTCAAGGAATAATGTAATAATGTACTTGTTAAATGTATCTATAAAATAGTATTCTTCTAATTGTGTTTTACGTTCATTGAATTATATATTATTTATTAGGAATATCTATTGATAGTACCATGCATACTTATAAAAAATATTCAAAACAAAAAAATTGTTGTACACATAATGGACACATTTCTCGTGAGTCCCGCATTTTTATCTTGTAAGAAATGCATTTCATATTGAAGTCTAAACGATATAGTTACACTATTAAGCGACACTCGAAGCAACAACTTATCTTGAGTTGCTTTTGTTAACACAAGAACTAGTTTATTTCTTATTCAAACAATTTTAAATGATAATATAAATATTATAACTGAGGAACTTGGGCAAAGTTCAGGTAGGAAAACCAAAGACAAAGACAAAGAAATGCGAATATCAAATAACTTGTAACTATTATTTAACATGCTTTTCAATTATTGCTTATTTTTAAGCACATTTTAATGTTAAAATGTTGAAGTTCTTTTATTGTAAACGAGCTTAGATCCAAATAAGTAATTTTACTTATATGGAATGCGACACTGACAGATTTGAGCGGAAATTTCTTGGTTTCCGTTCTTAAGACTATGCATTCCGGTGAAGCCAGCTTATACTTAATTGTGTTCAAACATCGCTCAAATTGATAGATATGAATTATACAATATAAACATATATATTTGAATTTGTTTAAAATGTGTGTTCAACGAAAAACAAAAGCTCAGTTTTAAAATGCTCAAAGTGTACCGATCACAACGCAAGTTAGGAGGTATTTAAAAAAGTATTAAAATTAAAATTACTCAATCTCAATAGTATTAAATTAAATGTTTCCAGCAATTAAATAAATCGCGACTAAGTACGAATTTTTATTAATTAAGCTAATTAATATTGAAATTATTTCAGTAATCAGTGAAAATAATAATTATAAAAAAAATAACAAAAAACACACCATACATAGTAGTTTACAGCTAATTTAGTGTGCGCTAGGTAAAAACAAAATGAAGTACGATACATAAATTAATAAATGTTTCAAAATGTGTAATTTAAAAATAAATAATAATTAAATAATAAAAAATGATCATGTTTTAAAATGTGAAAGTTGTAATAATAATGCTTAAACAAATAAAAGAATCTATAAAGAAAAGTTGATTATAATGTCCATAGCTCGTTATTAAAACTAAATAGAAATTTCCAAAAGAGTTGTTTGCTTTTTAGCAGGACCTACTCTACCCCAGGGCAATGAAAACGACCACATTGTTTAGTTTTTAATTGTAAAAATGCATACCATTTTATACTTTCTTTTTGTATTTAAATCATAAAAACAATTTTACGATGTATCAGATTTGTTTTGTTTTTATATAATATGTATATGGTATAACCTATTAGTTTCTTGTAATGCTCGGATTTGCTATATACGCATAACATTTCTCAGCAATAATCGTTTATATACATACAAAATTCAATAATTTAAGGTATGTATGCATCAGTTTTCAGTTGTTTTGTTTTCTATTTTGTTTGTTTGTTGGTTTTTTTTTTTTTTTTTGCTATCAACGGACGTGAAGGAGGACGACGACGCAGGATTTTAAAGATGTAGAGACGGTGCAGAGAAGATGGACAAAATCAGCAAATAGGTCAAACGAATCAAAGAATCGTTTGCGATCTTGTGTATACACACTCACACACACACACTTGAAACGCTTAAATTGAATATGAATTCGGAGCGGGTCTGGTAGCTGGTCGTGCTGGTTTATTTACTTCTTCGTTGGCTGACTATCCAGTACGGGCGTAATTGTCTTGCCGCCAAAGATCTGTCCCCACCCAATTAAACTGCAAGCGGAGAAGACAGTTTTAAAAAAAATTTCATTTCCAGTGGATATTTACACTTACCGCCAATGGTTTTCCACGCGTCTGCTGAGTGCAATCTTCTCGCCCTTCTCCGTGCAAACGGGCGTTGTAAGCACAATCTTGGCCAGATCCCCCTTGGTGGCAGAGATGCGACCTCCAGTGCTGAGCGATCCAATGTTAACAAGCAAGATTTCATTGCGCTGCAGCTTCTCCACACGTGCGCCCTTCTTGTCGCCATCGGTGCGCACGCCGAGCAGTCGACGCAGCAGGTAATACGAAATTTCCAACTCGATGTAAATGTCTGGTAAATTGCCGACGGCGCCAAGCACCTGACCGACCAGTCGATCGGCACGGCATAGCGTGGGATCAATTTTGGTGCCCACACCGATCAAGCCACCGGGCACTGCATACTGCAGCTCATTTTGTTCGGCAAACAGCGACACGATGCGCGAGAAGATTGGACGGCAAGTGATGTTGCCATCGCTATCCTTGGTCACAACACCGGGACGCACCTCAATCTCCTGGCCGACCTTGAGCACACCGCTCAATATGGAGCCGCCAGCAACGCCGCCCTTGAGATCCTGCACCTCACAGCCAGGTTTGTTTACATCAAAGGATCGTATAACAATGAGACGGGGCGGCGCCTTAAAGTCACGCTGCGGCACAGGAATCTTGTTAACGATGTACTCGCAGAGAACATCAATGTTGTACTTCAGCTGGGCCGAAATTGGAATTATCGGTGCACCCTCGGCCACAGTGCCCTGCACAAACTTTGTGATCTCTTCGTATTGCTCTTTTGCCTGGCTCTCCTTGACCAAATCGATTTTATTTTGCAATATCAAAATCTGTTTCAGTTTCATGATCTCAATGGCTGCCAAATGTTCCGAGGTTTGTGGCTGTGGACAAGATTCATTACCTTTTCAAGGGAGGAAAATTAAATATTAGAAAAATTCAACATTTCGGGATTCTACAAGATATTCATTTACCAGCGATTAGGAGCAGTGCAGCGTCCATCACAGCGGCGCCGTTCAACATAGTGGCCATAAGAATGTCGTGACCGGGGCAATCAACAAAGCTCACATGACGCACCAATCTGAAGCGACCAGAGCAGGCGAGACGCGCACATGGCATGCTGTCATCCTTGCTGGAGCCGTCCGATACAAAGCTGGCCGGGCGCGGGCACTTGGGATTGTCGCACTTGTAGATTTTTGCATTGGCATATCCTAAATTAATTTGGAAAACAAGATTTCTTGGTTAGCAACATGTTAAAACCGGGTAATATTAATTGATATTATTAAAGACTAAAAACAGACATGAAATTTATTCTCATCTATTTTCCAACAACGGCACAAAATATAATAATAATATAAAAGTAATAATGAAAATCTTTTCAACTATAACTTATTATTAGTGTCTAATCAAATTCAATTATTTTTGATATTTCCTTAAATGAAATGAATGTGAATTTCAAAACGAGCTTAAAAAACAAAAAAAAAATGAAAAACATATGAAAAATAAATTAAAGAAAGATAACGGGTTTCTTTGCTTTTAATTTTAATTCCCAGATCGAATCGCCCTAATTTAATATATTAAGTTCGCAATTTAGTTTTGAAATATTTTATTTTAGATTTTGTCGTAAGCTTTAAAGTAATACATAATATAAAGGCGTGCGTATAGCCCATAAAAAACATATATATATATATATATATATTAACTACGGGTAAAATAAGTGAGTACAAATTCAGGGGGCAATTCGCAAAATGCTTCAATAATATAAAAAAAAGTGATATATTTAACTTGAAAAACATTTTAAAAATAATTGATGCGTTAAATGTTTAAGCAATGCATGCACAAAATAACAATAAATAATTTAATATATGCAACTGAATAGTTTTTCATAAGGTTTTTGATGTCAATTGTTTTTCAAGTGAATCTGTCAAATAAACTTAAGCGCTAAATTCTTATATATATAGGCATATGCATATAGATATATGTGTGTATGTATTTGTATTAAGGTGTAACAATTAATTTGTTCATCATTTGCGGAAGCTGCATCTAGAAGAGCACTTTGCGGCAATTGGCGGCGCCACAGCGGCACTCGACGCGCACAGCTGTCGATAGATTCTCATAGGGCACATCCTCGTTGTCGGCGCGTATATAATCAAAGCTCAGCTCCTCGCCGGCCTTGATGTGGCGCAGTGTGAAGAATACTAAATGGGGCAGCGCCATGTTCAGGTGTTCAATCCAGCAGGGGAATACGGCCAAATTGGGATCGCACGAGTGATTGATAAAATGCGAGACATTGCCATAGTTGGCCGCATCGATGGTATATTCGCTCTCAGCTGCCGTATTGTAGTCCAGATCAAAGAGATATGTGCGTCCCTTATCGTCGTAGGCTTTGCCACGCACATTGGCCTCATCGCTGGTGATGATCTCGCCCACATATTCGCACACGAACTCCCCCTTGCGCAGGGAATGCGGTGTGCGTACACCCCAACCGCGTCCATTGCTCGTCTTGAACAGCTCCAACGGATGCTTGCGTCCGTTTTGAACCAGGCGATTTGTGCAGCTGGCATCACAACAGCAGCGACTATTGCACTCGAAGATGGCGCTGCCCTGTGGCAGGCGCAAGCGTCGCGTGGTACGCTCATAGGCATACAGCTCGCCGGCGAGCCGGGCGCAGCAGCGGCTCATGGCGCTGCATTCCTCCATGCCTGGCTGTTCCTTGCAGCTGCAGCCCAAAACTGATGCCTCCGGTCGCGGCACACCATCGGTCAATATGTTCTTCTGAATATAAACGAAACTCGAATCGATGATTTCCAGGTCGACATCGTTCTGGACGCGTATAGGCGGTGCCGGCAGCTCCACGGCGTTCATGCGCTTCTCAAACTGAGCCAGCGCCTGCAACTGCTTACGGCGTGCATAGTGACAACGCTGCAGCTGAAGGCGTCGCAGTGCTCGTTCTCCAATGCGCTGGGGCTCGCGCTGACTGCGACTGCCCGCCGCACGATACTGTGCTAACAATATCAGATCCAAATTCAGAGGCAAGGACTCATAATTCTCCACATCGTCCTTCATGCTAATGCTGCTCATATCCAGTGGAGCCGTTTCGGCCAGCTGTGCCTCCAGTTCTTTGCTGATTTGCGCTATGTGAACCGCGTAAAAAAGCGTCTGGCGCTCCACGAAATCCTCCAGCTGCATACAGTCGGCCAAATTAATGAAATCTTCCCAGGTGTTCTTGCTGCTGTCATAGCCCAGCCATTTGACATAGAACACGGGCGCGTAGTGCAGCACCTCAACACGTTCAATACGCTCCACAATATACTCTCCCTTTGGCTTCTTAATGAGCTGACCGCTGTTATCCTTGGCGCGCTTCAAAGCGGGCGATGGCTCCACATCTTGAGAGCCGCTTCTGGAACTACGTCGTCGCTTTAGCAGATTTGGGGGCGTGGCAGCAGCTGCAGCTGGGTTGCGATGTGCGGCAATGGACGGCGGCGGTGCAGCATCCTGTTCGTCACAGCCCAAAACGCTGCCATAGCCGCTGCTGTGACTGGGACTCAACGAGCTTTGGCTGAAGCTGCGCGTAGTCCGTGTATATTGCGCAAATAAATGGTTATGGGACAGCTCCAGTCGGTTACTTCCGGTGCGTTGTCGCCGGCGATTGAGCAGCTGGCGCTGCTTGCGATCGTATGCATTGCGGTGCTGCTTGGAGTGCAAAAGTTTTTGGATTTTCTTTTCGCTTAAGCGTTCTGCAAATGACATTTTGGTTTGGTTTTTTTTTTGTTTTTATTTAACGCGCGTCGTTAGGCAAACGAAAAACGAAAAAGAAGAAAAAAATGGACTGAATTAATTAAATTGCTGGATTATCGAAATCAAAGAAATTAAATTTTTGCAAAGCTCTAAGAAACTAATCTTACGCAAACAAGAGAAACAAGTCGTGATACCAAGAAGTATATAGAGAAAAAAACTATTATATTTTCTTCATTTTTACGAATAGCGACAGTTAATGATCAACTCCAAACTACTAATGCGACGACACAGTGCGTGTGTTGTATTTGTTGGGGGACTAATCCAGCAATTTAAGTCATTATTTTAATTATGTTTCAATCATTTACAGAACGCTCAGAACATTAATCCAAAACAATACGAAACTTAAGACTACGCGTTGTGTACAGCGCAATAAAATAATATTTAAAAATGATATGGAGAAAACAAACAAAACTTAGAATATAGAATTTGAATTCTTTCGTGACAAGTTCCGAGTTACACATTCAAAATTCCGAACATGTAACATAGAGCTTACAAATTTAATATATGGTATTTAAATATTTTAAACAATGTGTATATTAATAGATTAAATTGAAAATCATTTAACAGCAGATATTATTATATTTATTGTAAGAAAAACGATTTGTATAACGAATTTAAAATGCCGGAACTATAATTGTTTCTTTTACATAAATTCTTTGGAAAACAATTAAATGCAAAAATGAGCAAAATTCACGTAAGTCACTTTCTCAATTTTCTTCGCGGAAATGAAAACTGGAACAGGCCTTTTTAGTGCGCGTTGTGCCGTCGTCAGCATTTTGTTAGGTTTGTTTATTAGTAATTTATGTGATACAGCAAGGAAAATTGAAGTTTTATTGATTATAAAACAGAATAATCTTTGCCTAAAGCAACAAGCCTAAGCTTATAAACTAAGTATGACAATGACAATGAGTAGACTGAAATGACACTCTACAGCGAAACTATATTCGAATATTAGAAATATTCTATTTGTAAGCTTCGCTTTCTTTTTTATCATTATTTATTTAATTAATCCAATATTGAGTCTCATTCCAGCCTTATTGCAGCAGTTCAAAAGTCACTCACCGAGCTTAATTGTAATGTTTCGTTCCAATTCATTTTTAAAGCGGACAGTCTGCACGCCGGAGATGGCTTTGACAACCGTGGATTTGCCGTGCGCTACATGGCCGATTGTGCCAATGTTGATGGTAGCTTGGCGCGAGATCACCTCAGGCGACAGGGGCGTCAAATTGCTGATTTCCTGCAAGGAAAATATACAAATAATAAATGTTAAAGCTAAGTTAGTAAGTTCGTAAAAACACGCCCAAAAACCCCCTAAGACTAACACAAGTGTACACACAACACGCACACACACAGAAACATACATACGCATTTATGTGGCATGAGTGTGCGTACAAAAAGCCGTACATTTTGAGGTTAGAATCGACTGTGTATTGCATCAGATATTGTAGCAACAGTTGAGCCGCATTTATTAATTGCATTCTAGTTCGCTGATATTTCCAAACATATTGAAAACATATGCCAAATAGCGCGTACAGCGGAAAAGCCCGACATTGCTGGCCAAACATAGCAGCTAACGCCACGTGCTGCATTCTTTTGAGGTCGCTTCGCACGGCCAACGAGTAACAACAGAAATTGTTGTAAATACGTTGTTATTCATGGCAATCTTTGTTAAATGCATTTTAATTCATTTTAAAAACAATGAGTTCACTATTTCATATAGAAATGGCCGCTTTGTGACAACGCTCCCCGTTGCTTCAGGATGCAGCGTCTAAACAGACGGCGAAGACGCGTACATTGCCATCGTTTCGGAGGTGGTATTTTCGGCTCATATTCTTGCACACTCACCAAATTGCTAAGGTCCTGCTTTTGCAAATTTGTGTTCACATTGACTTGAGCTTCAGCCGTGGCCATGTTTTTAATATTTTTAAAAACGCTTTTTATATAAAATTAAAAAATGAATTGGCCAGCTCGTTTACACCTCGACATTAAATATTGTCCGCGCGTGTTGTAAAGGACCGAAAATGCCTTGTAATCTATTGAGTGTTGTTAATCGGCAGAAGCTAACCAAATTCTTTTGGTGCCGGAACCAGTTCCAATTTCTTCAAGTAAATATTTTATTCATTTAAGTCGTTGTGGATGACATTGAAATCCTAACTTTGACTGAAATTAACCCAACATTTCAAGCAAAGCAACAGCAACTAATTAAAATAACATATGCTTCCATAGGTCGATAATCGCTTGCTAAACAATCAAGATGCAACCCTGATGGACTGTATATTTGCGATTGCAATATTCGGCCACACTCAGAGCAGAATTCGCAAACGCAGTGAACGGCGCACATAAAGTGTCTATTAATTCGGCTTCTGCTCAACTGTACTAGATAAACTAATTGCCATTTGCAATAACATCATTAAGCTAACCTTTTATCTTAAACGCCGCTCCATTTAAAACAACTATACCAGCATCATGTCGAGCGTGCCAAAGAGACAGAAGTTGGATGCTGTCGGAGATGGAAATACATCTGCCGGTCCCAACGAGGAGGAGTCGGAGGCGCTGGAACAAATCGATGCCTGTCAAAACGAGATTGACGCGTTAAACGAGAAAGCCAGCGAGGAGATACTGAAAGTAGAGCAGAAATATAACAAACTACGTAAACCGTGCTACGAAAAACGGAGCGAGCTCGTCAAACGGATCCCCAACTTCTGGGTGACTTCTGTGAGTATATATGCACATACGTAGAAAACCGGGGGCATCTTTATCTGTGGGCATGATTTGCATGTTTAACATGTGTAACTTTGAAATATCTTAGTAAAGACGTTTTTCAAGTGGCGGAAATGCTTGCCCAGCATTGTTAAATCAAAAAAACATTAATTGATTTTGTGTCTCTACTACATGTCCATGAAAAATTTCTCTATTCGAGGAACTTTTTCGTTTGTTCTTTTTCATCTTAGTCTTCTATGCATGCCGCCGCCACCGGTCGCACCGCTCTTTTTTTGTCTGTGTATGTGTGTGCGCTCGTGTGCATGTGAGGGCCAATGTATCGATAAATGCTGCAGGCGCAAAGCTTTCGCACTATATAATAAAATTAATCGGCCTTTTTAAAATGTATTTTAACACGTTAATTTTTTGGATTTACTAAAAGTGTTTAAGTGATTATAAATATACATGTTTAAATTTTGTACACGACGCTGTCGTGCATCGCTATCAATTGCACAATTGCGGATATATCACTCAGATTGTTTAGTTTTTACTCCCGGTTGCCTTCGATTATGTGGTAAAGCGCTAATTTGAGTTACATTTTTTAGTTCATCAACCACCCGCAAGTATCAGGCATTCTGGACGAAGAAGAGGAAGAGTGTCTGCATGCGCTAAACAAACTGGAGGTTGAGGAATTCGAAGACATAAAATCTGGATACCGCATAAATTTCCACTTCGATGAAAATCCATATTTTGAAAACAAGATTCTCACCAAAGAGTTTCATTTGAATTCAGCGGGTAAGTGCTCTTTAAAATATAACTGGTTTTTCTATATCTTAGTAATATATTAAAATCATTTAGCTGCCTCCGAGAATGGTGATTGGCCCGCGTCAACTAGCACGCCCATTCAATGGAAGGAGGGGAAGAATTTACTTAAACAGTTGCTAACAAAACCTTACGGCAACAAGAAGAAAAGGAATTCCGATTATAAGACATTCTTTGATTGGTTTTCGGACAATGCTGACCCCGTCAACGACGAGATAGCTGAACTGATAAAGGATGATCTTTGGCCAAATCCACTGCAGTATTATCTCGTACCTGATATTGAGGTGGAACCCGAAGAAGAAGATGAAAACGATGACAACGAAGAGGAGACATTTGAGGATGATGATGGAGAAGATGAGGGCGATGAAGACCTCGACGATGAAGGTTAGCTTAACCTGGAATTATATTTTAGGAGTCGTCTATCATGTTTTTTTTTATATTGCAGATGACAAGTAAAACCTTCAATCAATATGTGCGCAATTTGAATATTTTAACTGATTTCCAAATGTGCTAACCACTTATAACTATTATTTTCCGTATGGTTATGTCGGGACGGGATTATAAAGACGCTTACATTATTTCAAATGTTGCGTGACAATTGCAAAAACACATTTTTAGGCAGTTACACCGTTATGTTATAAGTAAAATCAATATGTATTTCCGAAAAACCCATCTACAAAACATCAGTTTTTTAAAATACGAATAAAGACGTGAATCTGAAAATCGATAGCATTATTGTAGTTGAGTATTCCAGCGATATATTTGGCCATCGCAATATTTCATGCCGCCCTGGTAAGTGAATTGGCGCAGTGGCAGCTCTAGCAAGGCTTAGTCAAATCAACCCTGTACGGCGCAGCTGCGATTTTTAGGTGAAAAATTCTGTGCATGTAATAATGGCCTCCGTTAACAAATTAGCACTTTTGGTAGGTTTTTAACAATATATATGAAATTAACTTTGTTTTAGATTTGCTAAAGCGGTGAAATATGAAATGTTTGTGTTTAATGCTAGCAATGATATCAAAACAAAACAATTATCTAACGCGAATTTGTTGGTTATGTAATTTGCAATTTTAACCAATAAACACAGTTTGATTGCGATTTAAAGAGTTTATGTGTAATATTGATATACATTCCATTCTTGCAGAGCCGCACCCTCAGCTCCGCTGCTTCGCAGCAGGTGGTCAAACCACCAATCCAGTTGTTCGGACTGGAGGGCCGTTATGCCACTGCTTTGTATTCGGCTGCCACGAAAATGAACCAGTTGGACAAGGTGGAAAAGGATTTGATCGCTCTGCAATCTACCATTAAAGGCGACAAGAAGCTGCACGAACAAGTGACCAGCCCCATCATCAATAAGAAAGTCATGGCTACTGCACTGCAAGAGGCTTCTACCAAGCTGAGCTTTGCACCAGCCACATCCAATTTGTTGGGTCTTTTGGCTAACAATGGACGCTTGAAGAAGCTGGATACGGTTATCAATGCCTTCAGGACCATAATGGCTGCCCACCGCGGCGAGGTTGTCTGCGAAGTGGTCTCTGCCAAGCCGCTGGATGCTGGCCAAAACAAGCAATTGGAGGGCGCTCTCAAGGTAAATACTCTAAATTGTAAATGGTTGTCAAATTTAACAGTTTTTGTGTTTGCTTTTTGTTTTTCAGTCCTTCCTGCAGCCCAACCAGTCGCTGAAAATAACATCTCGCGTAGATCCCAGCATTATAGGTGGACTAATTGTCTCCATTGGCGACAAGTATGTCGACATGAGCATTGCCACCAAAGTGAAACTATACACAGATGTCATTCAAACCGCTGCCTAAGTTTAAGGATTTACTGTTGATTTTGCGCGGCGTGTAAAAGCGAATAAAACTCTTGGGGATAGCTTCAAACTTTTCCAGCTATTATAAGACATTTCAATTTAATAATTGTTTCAAGTGCAATCAAACTATTAGTAATATGTACAAGACAAATGGTTAAGAGCTTGTCACTTTGGCGATTCCGGCTTCAAGATACTATTTTTACTCGATTTTTGCCTTTTGGGAGTAATTGACTGTTCAGACTGTCCATCAGTTGGCCTCCGCTGGTCATAGCCTTGCACGCTGTCACCAACTTTGACCCCAAAACTAACCGTTTTATCCCGGCATCCGAAATTGGAATACAGGTCAGCTATTTTCTGCTGCAGGCCCATACACCAGTCGTCTTGGCGGGCAATCATGTTTTCCAGTTCGTAAATGCGCTGTTGCTGCTGTTTGATTATTGCGCTCAACTCCTGACGCATCTTGCTCTCACATTCAGCACTGCAGGGCGATTGATCTGGGAGTATCAATGGTTCTGGACAACCGGGTAGTTCGGCCGGTGCGAACTTTGTCTTTGAACATTGCTCGCATTTGCATGGACACTTATCGGTGGGATGATTCTGACTTCGGCCCAGCAGTAAGACATCCGTGCAGTTGCGTAAAGTGCCAATGTCCCCACATTCCTCATTGCTTTTTTCCAGCTTCTGCAGTTCTTCCTCATTGTGCATGGGTGTGCGCAGTACAGTTACTTGGGTCTCATCGATGTCAGGAAACCTCGCACCGCCATCCTTATAGGATGATTCCCGTACATAGATTTCTTCATCCAATGCATCATCCTTCTTGACTTGATCTTCTCCGTTTTCAGCATCGATGCTCTTGCCGCAATACGGTGGAAGCGTGGCGCCCGGCAGGAGTAGCACATGTAGCGACGGACGACTCGGACTAGGAGATGCGGCCAGCGTCCCATGAACCTCCTTCCCGTACTTCTCCTTAATAAGTGCTGCCTGCTTCTGAGTACGTTCCACAAATTGTGGTATGTGCTCAATGCAGACACAGCAGCATTTCAGTATACTTTCCACGGATGTTCCGAAGGCGGCCATGCTCTGCTGCCAGATGCGAGCCTCCTTGATATTTTTGGGATAATGGCATACGCGATCAATGACATCCTCAGCGGTTTCGATGCCGCAGACGACACAGCGACGGCTCATTGGAACGGTTTAATTTTTACTTAAAATTCGTCAAATATATTGAATTTTTTTGGCTTGTTTTTTTTGAAATTTTATGGTAACTGTGATTTCGTCTAGACATTCGTGTTGGGGACACTTTCAAACAGTGCGATTTACGCCCTCACTCACTTTGTCTTGTAGCTGGACATTGTTGGTAGAATTCGCCGTGTTGGGTTCGGGCCGGTTCGAAGGAGCGGCATCCTGCTGTTCTTTGTAGCGATGCCCGCACTCATTCGAGGCGTTGCAGGAGCTTTCCTGCCCTGGAGCTCATTTAGTTTAGCCTGAATGCACTGCTGCAGTTGCCGCTGTTGGGTCAATAGGCGTTCGAGCTCATCCAAGCGTATTTCTTGCTCATTGCTAGTCCCAGATGCTTGTGCATTATGTTGGACCACCTGCTGAGCTATTTTTGCTGAAAGAGATTTGTTTTCTCCACGCTCAAAACATGGATCTTTCTCGGGCTGAGCTATGCCCAAAAGTAACACTCCCGTGGAGTTCTCATCGGAAAGTCCATTTTCCTCATTTGTTGGTTGGGCTAGCGCTCGACAGACTGTATAATTGGGCTCATCAATGTCTGGGAAGACAGCTCTTTCTCGTGTCAAGTCCGACTCCAGCACACAAATTTCCGAGCTATGCGATGGTTGTGCTCTAAAACTCGTTTTATTACAGTACGTGGGCAACATGGAGCCACCCATGATTAGCACACTGACCGGCGGTGATCGTGGCATGTCCGTCGTGGCCTTCCGGTTATGTTGAAACTTGTACGGCTGCAAGTTATGGTTCGGGATTGTTGAGCTCATCGGAGCTGTTTCGGCTTTGCGATTATCCCGCGGAGAAGTGTTGTTAATACAATTCTGTGGGCAACAAATACATTCATCTTCCTGTGCTGCTGGCACTTGATTAAATTTCTGGGATGGACATTGCATCGTCTGATCGCGCACTCTAGAAGTCAGACAGCATTGGCATTGTTGGTTTTGTTGTACCCTTTGCCGCTGTTGCTGTTTCTGTTGTTGTTGATGTAGTTGTTGTTGTATATGTTGTTGCAGTGCCCCCAGATTGTTGCATACGTTAATGGGACACCCGCTTGAACTGAATCTTGAGGAATCGAACGATTGCACCGCTGGAAAACTTTTGCGAACCTGTGGCGATTCAGTCCTGATTGGGCAAAACATTTGCTGACGGTTTAGCATTGGCTTTTTGGCTGTCAAGACTCGTGGACAACTAGATCCACATGTGCATGAAGGTGCTACTGCACTGCTACTCGTGGCAATCGGATGTTTCCAAACAGCTCTTTTGGTCTCAAAAGCTTGTTTTCCCGCATTTCTTGAGTCGATAGTCTCACAAGAGGATCCACACAGGCACTGATTGGCCTGTCGAGAGGTATATGTCTCATTGCCAGAAGTTCGTCTGATAGCCCGCGGACTGTCTAGCGTGTCCTCATCACTCGGATTTGTGGCCGCCACGTTGTTTACTTTGCTTGGGAGCCCCGGATGGCAGTTGAAGATGGCAGTATCAATATAGTTGGAGCGGTAATTCGTTTTTGGATTGTTCAACAATTGTGCTGATTCACCTATGCATAAGCTCCCTTTTTTCGTTTGCAGCTCGTTCGTCTGCATTGCTTTTACAGACTGAGTGCAGCTATGTGGAGCTTTCTTGCCCTGCTCCCCAAAGTAAAGAACGGCGTCCGCCTTGTTGAAAGTGACGCCGCGCCGCTGCTCAATCAGATCGTCGACCTTGGTTTCCTTCTGCTTTTGAATTTGCTGCACCTGTGATCGATTGATGTGCTTATTACAAACGCAACAGTGGTGGAGCAATGTCTCGACAGGGACAAAACAAGCTAGCATATTTTGCCAATCGACAGCTTCCTCCATATTGTGCGGATGGGTAAACCCAGATGTTGGCGTTTGCCCACAAACTATACAACGACGTTCCATTACAATGGACAGAAGACAAAATTTGTGAGGGCGCCAAAATGTTTAATTTTGATTTTATACTCGAGGACCACTTGATTAACAAACACAGGTATTCGAATAGGACAGGCGCATAATTATTAAGGACTTTAGCCTATAAAAGAAAACAAAGTTTTTTATTACATATATGTATTCATATAGAAAATGTATGTATCTTCACGCAGAAAATATATTTTTAAGCAGATTAATTTGTAAATATATTAATACAATAATTTCTGTAACCGGCGGCTACTTTACAACAAAGAATTCAAACAGAACTCATGGCCGCAACTGCCTGCCAAGCCGAGTGCTCGCGACTTTAACTATCGATTAAAAACTATCGATAACCAAATAAGTGCAGCATCAGCGATAATATTGAAGAACAAAAAAATTCGTCATCGTTCCGTTCGGGTTTGTAGTGTTTTGGTCGTTCGTGTGTACGGTTTGGTTGTTTAATTTTAAATACTCGCGGCGCACAGGCAACGAACTCAAGATCCATTGCGTCGATCCAATTTTAGTTTATTTGCTTTTGATGACTGAGTGATAAAAAGGCATTATGAGTTTAGCAGCCGTAGATATGGCCACAAATAACACCAACTGGCAGACAGAGGATCGTGGCGATATGGAAAAATATTTGGCCATGTTAGTTCTGGGGCTTGGTAGCCTTTTTTCTGGAATGTTGCCTGCCATTATATCAGCACGTAATCGACTGCGATTTCCACTAATAACCTCGCTGCTGCTATGCTACGGTGCAGGCATTTTGC